AAGGGGGTTTTGGGCATCTACGATACCTCTCTTTGCGGCATTTTACCAAACCATAGGGGTAGCTGATTGGGACACTTTTCTAAACCCTTTTAGGTTTTGTGCACGACGCTTTTTTTTTAGAGTGTATGCTGAGTCAAAAATGTTTTATTTGAAAGGAAAACGTATTCATTTTTTCTACCAAGTTGAAGTAATAGGTTAACCTTAAAAGTAATACATTTTACAGCAAAAATGCTCTCTGCTGAAACTTTAAGTCGAACAACTTGCACGATTGTCGGTCATCACACAAATTCCATGCTACGTCAGGACTGTAAGTCGAAAACTTGGGATGATTTCTATCTTTTGGCGTTAATAAACCTGAAAGACCAATTACGACGCTTTAAAGGAGAAATGAATTGATCTGAACCACGTTATCGACATAAACCTGATCTTCCAGAATTCTCGCTTGATTTTCAATGAAAGAAAACGTTCGACCGGCGTATGAGGACGAATTGTATGAGGACGAATTAGAAACAAATGATTTTATACCATTTAAGAATAACGGAAAAATTACAACTTCCTCAGTCCGAAAACAATACACAAAATTTCTTCTCGAACTAAGGGAAGAACATATTTTACCGCAAAGTGTAATTCATTCTATAACAAACATATAATTCTCCTACTTGATATTGTGGAACAATTAATTGAAGGAAAGTTCAAAGAAAAACAGCAGGAAACAGTCACAACATCGTGTACTTATGATCAAACAGCTGTATATATTGGAATTTTACGAAGTACAATTCAAGATGTTAATGATATTATTCAGCAAACATCAAAGAATGAGTATCAGTTTATTCGATTATGTAAAGAGCATTTTAATTATTACCAACCTGTTGAAATTTCGATGTCGGGTGGAGCAACAAGAGATAAAGATGCAAAATTCTATTATATTTCCATAAAAGAGTCATTAATAAATATATTTAGTAAACAAGAAATGTATCTTCTTCTCAGGAATCATGTTATACAACAACAAGTTAAAGTGTTGCGCGATCCTTATCTGATGTATTCGTTTAGAGATGGGAGCAACGGCCAAAACATTGATCCTCATTCATTTTTACTTCAGTTGTATAGTGATGGTGTTGGGCTGACTAATCCTATTGGTGCTAAAAAGGATCAACATAAGGTCACATTAGTATATTTTCTTTTAGAAGATATACCAGAAGTATTCAGATCAACATTACAATGCATTAACTTAGTGGCTATATGTTACACAAAGTATTTAAGTAATGAAAATCTAAGAAAATTTTATCAACCGATAGTTAAAGAATTAAATGATTTACAATTAAATGGTTTGATGATAAATGGAAATAATGAAACATTACGATTTAAATTTTCAACATTTTCTGCTGATAATTTAGCAGCAAATGAAATTGGTGGATTCCAGCAAACGTTTAGTCATGGACACTTCTGTCGCAGATGTTTGATATCATATAAAAATCGTATTATTCCGCTTACGGATTTAACGATAATTCAAAGAACCGAAAATAGACATGAGCAATATGTAGAACAAGTGATAAATCAGAATGGTGGAGCAGCTGTGTTTGGTGTTACTAGGATGAGCCCATTGGATGAGCTAGATGGTTTTTATCCAACAATTTCACTACCTGGCGATATAATGCATGATTTGTTTGAAGGTAAAATTAATTTTTTTGCTGTTCTCTTTTTCCAGTAAAAGCATTTCTGTTTTATTAGGCAGTTGTCCGATTGTAATTATAGCAATGCTCAAAGAAGCATCAGCTTTACGTCTGATAAGTTATCCGAAAATTCAAGAACGTATGGAAAATTTCATTTATGGTACGATGGATTCAAGTGATAAACCCCCAGCAATTCAGGTGAAGCATCTTAACCTTGGCCGCATAAGTAGAAGTGCTGCTCAAAAATTATTACTATTTAAATTATTTCCATTAATATTCCATGATATAACACAAAATCTTGAAACATTTGAAATTTATCTCACTTTAAGAGAAATGTTAGGCATTATTTTGGCTTATCCATCAAGGAAGAGCTGGTTACCTCATCTTAACCAACTTGGTATTTTATTTCAATGTTTGATGGCTAACCTTTTACCCGACAAAATGATACCAAAAATTCATTTTTCTACTGAATATGATAAAACAATGGAGCAATGTGGGCCACCAACTAAGTTTTGGTGCATGCGGTATGAGGGGAAACACGCTTATTTCAAAAAAGTTGCTCTACGTTCAAATAATTTTAAGAATATGCCGAAAACATTAGCTCAACGTCATCAGTTAAGAAATTGTTTGTTTTTGTGGAATACTCAATCTTTGAAAGAATATGCTGAGCTCCGTGGTATCAAACTGATTCAATTACATCGTCTGAGTCAAACAGTACAAAACGCATTAATTGAGAAATATGGTAGACAACAAATAGAGCAAATGTCGCAACTTCAGGAATGTTCATCATTTACCCATAAGCACATTCTTTATAAACAAGCAGCTGTATATGTACACAATTTATTACATGTTGAGGAAATTCCTATTTTTTTCCAAATAATTCATATTTTGAAAATTCACAACCAGTGGATATTTTTAATCGACCAGTTCTTGACAGAACGTTACGATAAACATTTATGTTCGTATAAACTAACATCAAACGATTTATTCACAATAGTATCTCCTCAAAATCTCACATACTATCATAAAGGTCTTGATCTTTACAAGATTAATAGCCATTATTTTGTGACTTTATTACCACAACTCACTGTCACACAATAATTTGCATTTCGCTCACTATATTTTGTACACAACAAAACCGTGTACAATATCTTGTACACTATATTTTGTAAGAACGCTTTGAATCCCGTTTAGAACTCTAATCACAAAAATAGACTATTATTATTGTTCTTTTCTGTTTATTTAGAAGAAGAAGTTGATGGTAAAACACTTTTACTTATGAAAGACGTAAAGCCCATTGATTCTTTCTTAAAAAGATATAAACATCAACTATTATTTTTGGCAGAAAGAGAAAAATTATTTGGGTCAGATGCATTGTCAGTTGGTAATAATATTATTGATGATAATTCTGAACAAAATAGTCAATGTGCTGGCTCTTCATCCATTTATGACCATACACAAAGACAAAATGAAAATTATTCAGATACATTACGAGATGATATACCGAAATCAGTTTATATTCGTAATGATCAAGAGCCTCATGATATATTAACAATATTTACATCATCAAACGAATTAGCATCCCATGATATAGAAGCAAAAAATGAATTTAAAATCGACAAGAAACAACTGACGTCTGTCGATATTGGCAATCTATACGTTGTTCCTGATTTACCTGATACATTGAAACAAGCGATTGAGATAAGGGATTTAGCAAAATTTGGTAATCATTGTAATTTTCGTCGAATATTATCGGATACTGTGTTTCATGATTTAACAACAAACTATAATCTATGGTATATATATAAATGTACGGAAAAGTGTAAGTTTAGTTGTTTTTCTGTTCTATTTAGGTATCCAACTACTCATCAATACGATTCCATAGCACGTGGAATTATCAATAGTATGAAAATTTTGTCTGATGAAAAAACTCTGGCAAGTGCTATGAACATGCTAATAACACTATTTCTCTTCTGTACAGCTTTATGTCTTAATTCTTTTCGTTTACAGCTTGCCTGGAAACGAACAATGATAAGCAAATTTAAAGATGAAAGACAATCCAAAGCTGATACAATAGAACAGATTAAAGCACATAAAATCAAATATTCGAGATTAGAATCAGGTCGTCCGATCAAAAAACAAGCCATAACAACCTTAGCAGATCGAGATCCTGAAAAAAAAGTACGCATGCGATTTAACTATTGTTCGCTGTAAAAATGGCTTTAGCTTTTCAGATTATATTACAAAGCGATGCAAAGGAAAATGAAAATGAGGTTGAGAATTTGAAAGATGAGCTGAAAATAGCAGCTAAAAATGAAAATCCCGATGCAAAATTATTATTGAATGCGTGGAGTAAAACTATACGTTATAGGCGTGATTTTGTGCGGACACACAAAATAGCCGATATAATAGAACAGTTTCCAACTTATAAGCAACCATGTTTTGTAAGTAGAACAATCGTACTTGCTTGTTAAAAGCTCATCTTATTCACTAGATTTATGCTGAAATTGAAATGTTGACTGGTCTCAATATCGAAGTAACTGGAAAATTAATATTGAATGAATTATATCAAAAGCTTTTGACAGAAAATACAGCTTTTTTGACGGGTAAGAAATTCATAGTTAAAGTACGGCTCTAATCATATAGTACTTGCGTTTCTTTTATTATTTGCCGTAACACAGATGCTATGCCGCTTCGGTTAATCAAGGTTTTATGTGGCATATTCGAAGAAACATGGAAACACTACATATTTACATCGGGAGTAAGTGTTTTATCTCAGTCATATTAGATTCTTCATACATTAGCTATATTTTTATTACGCTGAGTTAATGTTTAATTTCTAGGATCCATCATCTCCTCAACCAAGCATTAAAACTTCCGATGAAGCAATTGAATTATGGGTAGACTGGACTGTTGTTTTACGTCCAAAAAGTGCGGAAGAAGCAATTATACTTTGGCTCGCGCTCTATCACATATATGAGTTAAAATTTCCTTATCATAGCCGTGTTGTCAGATTTATGTATGTAATACTATTTAATGAAAAAAGATATGCGTCGAATTCAATCAGAAAAATATTAAAATTGTATGGCTTAGATGACAGGTATTTAGAAAGAACGACAAAGTTATTCGAAAAAAGTCAGCAACAAGAAATTAGTGATGAAGTTAGTAGGGAATTAAAATTAAATAATGATCATCCAAAACAACAAAAAACAAATAATGAACCTCCTCAACGTCAATTACCAGAATTAGCACTAACTAATGATGATATCGATGATGATGACGGCGAACAAATATCATACAATTCAAGGAGCAAAGAACGAAAACTAAGTTCAACAACAATATTATCTAAGAAGATTCAGAATTCATCAAAGTCGAACAGTTCAAAAAGAAAAGGACTATCAATGGGCTGTAATAACTTGGATGATGATACTGCCAATCAAAAAATAAAGTCAATTCCTGCACAGCCTGCAAAAAAAGCAAAACGTTCAAGATGAGCTAAAACACGTACTTTTTTGACATCTTTTGATTTGACGACATGGGTCTTGTAATAATTTTATAATCAATGTTGACTGGTTTTTGTATTTTGTATAACGGATCAGAATGTACATGACTTTTAATTCTTTTATTCTCTTGTAACTTAAATAATCAATAATATAAGATGTATTTACAGAATTGGTTCAGATAATATTTTTTGTGTGGTTATTCTAGATTCTTGTTTTTACTCAACTATGTTTCATATCCTTTTTCCAACCTCTTTTTGTCAGATCTGGTTAATATTGCTATAGCGCACACATACAGTATTTTTTTTTCTCTTAAAATCCTTGAAAGGAAGCTGACAATGAACGAAATAAACTCTAGGCTGAATAAATGTACTATATGAATAGTATTGGCTTAATCCTTCTTGTGGACTCAATCCTTTACTGTGGCATTTATGAATAGCAGTACATTCTAGCATAGAACGTATATGACTTTATTATTTTTATTTATCCTACGTTCTACAACGGGCGTCATGGACTTTCATAAAGTGGCTTTCGCATTTTACAAAGTATAATTTGTATATAAAACAGGTACCGTAGACGTCAAAGGTCGTCAAAGGGGACGACCTTGTCGTCTACCTACCAGAACTAACGAATTAGTTTTGTGCAAAGTACCAGGGCATCGGGAAAAATTCGCTGAATGATTTTCCAGTCCTCATGTGGTCATCCACGCCAAACATTAATCATATACAATTCTAGATCCAGCATCAACCACAACGAGACAAGTACATGTGAACGATCTCAAGCCTGTCTACGAACGATATGTTTAACCCACGACTAGGCGACGCCACTACCCAGTGAAAACACTAATGCTGGTAGCAGCGCATGGGTTTCGTTTGGGCAACAGGAACACGCTTGCATGCAAATGTTGGTTCAGTGATAATGGTAGTGGCAGTGCCGGAACATTGAATAACAAAAGACATGTGACAGCTATTTAAATTTCGATGAAAAAAGAAGAGATACTGCAGTGTTTGTACACTACTGCGTGATTATATAAAAGAAACGTTTCCTTTTCAGGAAATGTATTTTCATATAGTCACTACCTCATCATGCCATCCTGTGACATCACTGTATATATTACATCATGTTCTTCTGTTACGTGTGTTCTTTCTTTCTTTCTGGCCTCCACAGGCATATACTGTACGAGAGGAGGGTCTTTACTTTTTCAATAAAGCATTTGTACGTACAAGTGAAGATTAAAACAAGTTAGATGGAACCTACCACTCAGACTTATTGCTGACGAGTTCTTTCATCTAACTAGTCTCTTCCTGACACTTACAAACCATCAAAAAACCGTTTATTGTAGAGCAGATGGAAAATAATGAAAAATCGCTTAAAGTTTTGTCCGCAAACGCCTTTTTCTCCTAGGTAAATAGCCTATACTATGGAAAAATGGAATTAGTTCATTTTTGTAGTCCGTCGTCTGGGGTATCCGAATCACTACTTGGCTGCTTGTTAGTGTTTGAACTTAATGAAGAAAGCTAAAAATATCGAAAAACCAAAATCACAATTCTGCTTCAATCATTTTAACGTTATTGTGACATATGTTGATTGATGGATGACCAGTTGGTAGGGATTTTAAAGCAACATCAAGTGCTTTTTACAATAAACCAAACCCCTCTTGTAATTGTATTATAACTGTGAATAAGAGCGATATTGTTATATGCTGCTACAAGTCCAATATCAGTATAATTCAAAAATTTTGAACGAATTTGAAGAGCTTTGTTACAACAGTCCAATGCCAGCGAATATTGACCCTTATTATTGTAATTTTTTCCTATCCTGCTGTACAAATTGACGGTATAATGAAAATCACTGGGTTTAGTCGAAAGAGCGGTGTCCAAGGATTTTGTATAATATTTTAAAGAATTTTCGTAATTGCATATTTTATCATTGGCTTCAGCAATGCTATTGTACAATTCTATCACTCGTAACAAATAATCTCCATTTAAATGTGCATATTCAAGCGATTTGTTATAATATTCTAAAGCTTTTTGATAATCGCCTGTTTCATAGTAAATTCGGCCTAAATCATAATAAATTGTACCAATAGTTCGATGATCGTTTTCGCGAAGTTTCGCAAGTAAAATCTGGTAATGCTGTTTGGCTAATTCATATTCTCCAATTACAAATAGAAGGTAGCCCCATTTTATATCCTGATGTCGTTTGTCAATTCCTAAGATTTTCTTAAAATTTTGTGCTTTGTTTTTCAAATTACAATCTTCATCACTGCATGCTATTAGTTTTATTAACATTAGTCCGTCATCTGTGAATGTCTCTACTGACTCAGTTCGAAACGTCAATCCAATTGAGAGAAGTACTTCTTGTTCTGTGTTACCGTTCAAATTCTGATGAAGATAAGCAAATGGTTTGGCAATAGTAGTGCTAATATCTAGATCAAATAACACTGGAGTGTTATCTGAACGTTCGGTTATCTCTTTATAACCATCGATAAAACTCAAGGCCGTACACTCTAAAAAAAAAGCGTCGTGTACAAAACTCAAAGGGTTTCCTAATGCGTTTACGAAATGTTACTAAACCTGTAAGAGTATTTGAGTCGTTCTTAAAAACCTAAAAGGTCGTTTGAAGGGTTTATTAGTCTTACGGAACCTTAGGATTTTGTAAACTACGGTTTAGCAAAATAGTTAGGGTTTCTTCTGAAGACTGAAAGGTTTCGCGAAGCAGGTAAAAAACCCGTGGGGTTTTTCTTTGCCTCAAAAAACTCAATAAAGTGGTTTACTAAA